AGCAAACGTAAGTATAGAGCTTCATTTAACAAAGTTCAATTTATTTTTACAGCACTTACTGAAGGGAAAACATAATTTCATGCCTATTTGGCTTTTCTTCTGCTTCCCTGATTTTTTTTTTCCAAATAGTCAATTTCACTCATGAACTTTTTTCTTTAAACAAAAGACTGCAACTTTTTTGCATAAGAAAAAAGAAACACAGGGTCCAGGTAAAACAAAAAAACAGCTCATCCAAACCTACTAACTACTTTAACACACGAGCATAAACCTTTACATCCAAGAACATGATAATGTTAGCAACAGGCAAACTACTCATGCCCAGTCAGATTAAAATTTATTGTTAGAGTGGAGGAGAACAGTAACCACTTACAGATTATTTGCTTTTTTATTATTTTCTATATGTATTTTTTTTCCTGTAAATTCCTTTCAGCATGTTGGAGTAGAAATTTCATTTCAAAATGGAAAACCAAAAAATCTCAACCCCCAAATCCATCTGTAATCCACAACATAGCATTGCAAATTTATTTTTTTTTAATAGAAGTACAAATATAACAAACTTCAGCATAAAGAGCAGTGTTACATTTTAGATATGCATGCAAAACTGCAAGGGAAGAGAGTAAAAGTCGATTTAAAGAATTGATCTTTTCAAATATTCAGCAAGAAGCAAAAACTTGTGGGAAAACTACATAATCCTAACAGAAAGATGATGTCACAGCAAACCTAGACCTGAAATTCCTACAGAAACAATTAAAAACAACCAAGAAGTGGAACCCTATAAGAATTTAATTTTTTTAGGCTGCTTTGTGGGTTGTGAATCTCACAAAGTTTGGCAGGATAACTTCACTAATAAGACATTGCCAGGAGATTTCATGTAGCCACTCCAGCAAGCTTTGTGTCTGGTCTAACTAAATCAGATCCTCTGAGTGAAACACAGCACATACATAAGGACTCTTATGCTTATTATTATCATTAGCACAGAGGGTAAGTCAGATACGTTCAAGGTTTTGATTCACTTCTTAAGAATAAACATAGGCTTTGTCATTATATAAATTCTGTTCTGAATACACCGGAAAAGTGTGTCTTCCAAGATACTGCTAGATAAAAAAAGAGAACTATACTACTCGTTCTGACAAAATATTTACAGTAAAACATTACAATTAATCAGACACCTGAGAAAAGCTACCAAAAAAATGTTCTTCTGAACATACAGCAGTACTAACACTTTGTTCATAAACACATTAGCATTTGATGGAAAGTGCTCTGTAGTTAGTTAGTGTAACTGGTTGTCAAAACAGTCAAAGCAGATGCTATTTCCATGACTGACAGTGGAAATAACATCTGCTCAATCTATCCATATTTCCAGAAATGCCAAAAAAGCATACAACATAAAGATACATTGACTAGTGTTGCTGATACAACTCTGTCAGGGGGTGGCTGCAAGGGGAGGATATTGAACTCTCTATAGGTTCAGAACTAAAATTACCATTTATATTAATTACATAATATTAATTTTAATTCTAAATACATTCAGAACTAGTAATCAATTTAAGCAAAAAAAAAAAAAAAAAAAAAAGATTTCATTATCTATTAAACATAAAACTATTTGTGCCTGGCTTTATTTCCTTAAAAATATTATCCAAGATGACTATTTTAGATATCACATTAATAAAACAGGATAGCAAATCTTTTTTACCTCCAAATCTTTTTTCTATTATTAATTCTTTGTTAACAGATGACACTATCTGACTATAGCTCAACTTCATGGAAGCAAAGAAATTCTACTACAAACTCCTTACATTATCCATGCATAATCAAAATCCCTTGCATTACATTGATTTTACACATGAATCATAAAAACACTATGGACACTAAATGGAAAAAATACCTGATGCTAACAAATATTGAACTACTATACCAACTCATTAAATTAACTATAAAACACGCCTACATGACAAATCTCACCTCAAATCTAATAAAATCTATCTGGAAACAGATGAGGGGGCAATTAAGTTCTTCAAATTGTTGCCCTATTAGTATTTGGCCTTTCAGTAGCACCTTAGCAGCTCTGACGAGTGGAAGAGATATTACTGTACTAACTTCTATCTGAGCCGGGTTAAGCAAGCCAGCAGAATTCTTGCTTCTTAAAGCTCAACTACCAGCATCAGGAATGTAATGACACAGCAAAGATGGTACTGACGCCTACAAAATAAGCTTAACTAAAGAATTCAGCTATTATGCATTGTGACTATGTTATTGCAGCTGTCATCTGGAGATCTTGAGGTCACTTACCTGGTTTGAGAGAATCACCCTGCAGTAGTCTATTGAGCTGCTCAAACTTATTATCTTAGTCAATATTATACTACCAGCACCACAGAAACACCGTATCAGGAAAAAAAAGAAGTGTGCATCAGCACTGTAAACCTAACATCTCATAGACACAGATGGGTCAATGACCCCAGAAACTCTGACTTTCGTAATTAGTCAGATTGCTAATATGATACAGCTGAGATGAGCCCAAAGAGTGGACAACATTGTGCCAGGCTAAGCAAAGCCAGCATCAAAGCTTGCACTCTCATTATTTGTTTCTACATCAAATTCTTTCTATTTACAACAACTTTAATATGTACTAATGTGAGGGGCTTGCACTGTTCCAACACAGACAAGCAAATTTCTCATTAATAGATGCAACAGCCATGTTACACACATTTGTCTGATAAGGGCAAGTACTGCATTGTATATAGCCTAGACAAAAACTACATGCAAAATCAGAAAAAATATTCTGCATAAAGATCTTCTTTCTTCATACAACACATACACTAAGTCCAGAGCAGAGAAGTCTAAATCTGTATATACAATATCTATAAAAAGTAATCATATGCTACGTTAAAAATATAAAAAGTAATCATATGCTACATTAAAACGTATAATATTTAATGTATTTTCTGTATAATGAAAAGCCTCAGTCCCACCTTCCTATGTAGGGAA